TGCTATCTTCTGGGTTGAGTCCTCCTTTGTTGGAACAGGAGAATATAATTTACATCTCCTTATTTCAACTTTATAGTCAATTCTTCAGATCAACTGGCAAAAAGCGTTCAGCATGTTGCAGCTTTGAACCCTTAGTGACAGAGCCTGCACCACTGATATCAACGGGAGCTAGAGAAGGGCCTTCTTGTCCGGCCAGGGTTTTAAGTTGACAGAACCCTTTACCTACAACAGTCAAACCATTTAACTCAACTGTGAAAACATTCACCAAAAAGAAAAAACAACCCACATCTACTAAGTTCTTTTGCGTATGATCATACAATTACCAAGAGTGTGCTGCAGCCTGCTTCATTGATTGGTACTCCATCTAGTATTTCACAAATCCTTTTTAGATAAATACCTTGGAAACTAATGCTTCTAGTGCTGGATTAGTCAACACACAGTGCCAAAGATAGAAACTGCACAATAATTGGCTTTATCCTACAGCCATTACTTTATTGGTTGGGTTTTCAGAATATAACAAATTCCTGTATTAAGACTGATATCCAGGCTCCCAGATGTTGGCTATAATGCTTAGAGACTCAACAGAAATTTGCTTCAGGTAAACAAAAGATATTTGTAACACATATTTTTGATACACTAAGGCCAACATTTTGAAATGTTTGACTTACATTTAAGCTTGAATTTGGCCTGCTTAGTGTGTTTTTTTCATCCTTATCCTATCTTCCTCCCCTGTTGTCTGGATACCACTCAGATACCATCTTGCCTTTGTCAGTGGCATTGAGTACAAACTGTAATCCACAAGCAAGGGATGGTATTGTCTACTGCCAAGTCTCCATGCCACCACAGCTTGCAAACCCCAAAGGTAAGCTTGTTGTTGCCTACCCTCACTGCCACCACTGGCTGCAACCCCCACCAGAAGCAAGAAAAATTTAACTCTGGGTACCCACATGGTACACAAATATTCTTTTGCTTTGATGTGTTATTTTGTGTCTATCTAAGGTATGTGGGTAGGTTAATTTGGGCAGAGGATAAAGAAAATCCCACTTCTCCCACAGAAACTTGTTGCATTCTTACTCTCTCCTTCATGGTGAATCAGGACTCTGCCACTGCCAAAAGTGCTTTCACAGGAATGTCTGCAAATTTGAATGTAAGACAAAAACTGCATGGACTGTATGACTTTCACTGTGCTCAGAAAATGCTGTGGGAAAAAACACAACCTTCTGCCCAGGCTTGGAGAGAATGGGAGTGCATGGAGTAGGTAGGAGGGCACAAACATAAGGGAGGTGTCTGTAAGCAGACACAAACAAGGGGGTAACAAACACAGGAATGATAAACAGAGGAGAAGGCACAAGAAAGGAGTTTACATGTTTTATTAACAGGACATCCATGATCCAGACTGGGATTAACCTCTTGCTCCCTCAGCTAACAGAGTGTAAAACATGCCGCTCTGCATTGTGGGAGGAGGACAGTACAAGCAAAAGCAATTTGCAGTGAGGAGTTAATATAAGAAAAAGCAACTTGCACTGTTCTACACACCCAGCTCATGAACCAAACAAATATCCCTTGACTAGAAAACATGAAACTGACAGGCCTAAGAACCCTGCAACCTATATTTTTAAAGTTACACCAATAAAGGTACATCTAGACTTCTTTCGAAAAAGAGCGTCTAGACTATAAGCAGATTTTTCGAAAAAGCATGCTGATTTTTCAAAAGAGAGTCTAGACGCTCTTTCGAAAAAGCACATTTTGCATTCAATAGCGCCTCTTTTCGAAAGAGTACTTTAAAAAAAAAGCGCTCTTCCTCGTAAAATGAGGTTTACCACGATCAAAAAAACTGCTTCATTCTTTTGATTTACTTTCAAAAGAAAGTGGCTGCAATCTAGACACAGGTGAAGTTTTTTTTAAAAAAAAAACCTATTTTTTCCAAAAAAACCCTGTAGTCTAGACACATCCTAAGAGGGGATTTGAGACCCTTAGAGTAAAAAAAAAAAAAAAAAAAAAGCAAATTAAATATTTACAAAATAGTCAATTCACAAACCACTATAGGCCATATTAAGAATGTAAATAATGGACTGAACATATATAAATTATAACAAAAATAAAAATATCGTTTTCTTTAGCTAAAAATCATGTTAAATATTTTTGAGGTATGGATGGAAAAACTTGAATATTTGTATTAGCAACTAGTTTTACTTCTGTACGTTTTATTTTGTTAACACTTTTGTATAAGTCATATTGCTGTTTATTTTGTATTTAGCACAGCACTGTTTGAAGAAGTTGTTTAAAACATCTCATAAGATACAATTACCTTCAAGTATTCTATATACTAACATGTAATTTTAATTATGTATATTTTTAGTGTGATTCAAAATTGTAAACATGTTTCGGACATTCTTTCCGACTGACAAATGCTCCTGATTCCATTTATTCTGAATTATTTTAACTACTATTAACTGCAGGCAATATTATAAAATGGAAATCTATTAGAAGAACTGAATTTTTCATAAGGAAGTTGTTATATTTCACTAAGTGACTTTTTAAAAATAGAATCTATATGAAATGTAAACTTGCATTATGTGGATAGAATTACCGTATATATCTGTGTCACTTCAACCAATTAAAAAACTAACCCCAAGTTATAAAACAAGGCAAGCACTTCAAAAAATATACTTTGGAAATTATTCAAATCCAAATCTTTACTCTTAACAAACATTTATAAATGGAACCATTTCCACTAGAACTCCTGAAACATCTTCATATTTTACAGGATAATGAATGGTGCCCAGAACAGTCAGCAAAAGTTCAAAAAAATGTCTATCAAATATTAAATATCTTCCTTACTACTGAAGGAAATGAAAAATATAAAACAATATCTTCAGTAATAAAAAGACTTAAATTCAGTATATTTTTACAACGTCATATTTGAGTACAAAAGAGTTTTCTTCTGACAATGATAATGTTCTTAATGGAAAGGACTACTCCAAATAACAGTGAGAATTCCACCAATTTTGCACCTTAAATGCACTTTGGGGCCACTTCTAAACTAGCAGCCAAAACTGCCCCAAAACTTCTTCCAAGACTGTAGAGGGTACATATTTACACATAAATGTATATATAGATTATAAAAGGAACAAAACTGCATATTACAATAGTATCGGGTTATTATCATTATATTAAATTAATGGGGTCATATTCATTAAATATAAGCCAGGCAGCCTGCTGACTTCAAGTACCTCAGTAGGATGCTAGTCAAGTAATCAGCTGATGTATTCAAATATTGTGACTGTCACAGAAATCATAATCTATTGGATAACTATAGTATTTTGTATTTTATTTTTCTGGAGTATGGCTTGAATGATTTGAAAGCCTCCAGGAAGTTTTAAATCTCATTATTAAAATGTATATTAAAGAGATGTATCCCACAATAAAATATTCAGATTGGTCCATAAATTGATAAACGGTAAAAGTTTCATTGAACAGTTTTCTATGGATTTCAAAGACAAAGAAAGCCAGAAAAAACATAAGGGGAATGTACTAGCTAGCATTCAAGAAAAGTTTCTCCTGTTTCCCTATGCAGATATCCATTAGACGGCATACTGCAGATTTCATCCCAAAGCAGAAAAAACGGATTCAGACAAAAAACTTCTTAATAATAGGCTTTAGTGTAAAGTTTACACACTCATAAAAGCCACTCACTTAAGTAACATATTATAAGCACATTATCCGTCAGTGAAAAAGATAATCAACAAGAAGCAATGAGGAGGACCAAAGTAGGTAGGTAACTGTGGGTGCATGCTCTCTCACTCTCTCTCTGTCTATATTAAATTAGGATGCTGAAAGAAAAACTCTTCAGAAATGTTTTGCTATTATGTTTATCTGACCACGTTTGGGACATTATATAAGTTAGTCATTTTTTTTTCACTATATAACTACTCTAGCATGCATTTTGTACCATTCTTCCTTACAGAACGAAGCATAACAACTAAACATTAACTACCCCAGACAACTATAAAATAAAAATGACAGTCACACATTCTAGATACCAAATTATTGAATGTATTTTAAACACTAACAGAATACGTGAATATAGTTAGAATTATTTCAAAATTTTATTTTCTTAGACACATTAAACTTAAACACTACAAATAGCATAGACTTCTCTATCTTACTAACGAAGATGTCCAAGATTTTTTTCTTTTAAGTGACTGATGCTTTTTTGCATAACAAAATGGAATTTTCCAGTTTCCCTTCACATAATTTCTTGGCTAATCAAGACAATTTTGGGAACCTATAATATGCAAAGTGAGACATTCAATAACAAATATTAATACTGAAGCTCATTTTCTTAAGACACAATATTTAATTAAACCTTTAAAAGCTCAACTATTTTTCTCTGCTATATTGTACCCATTTCTTTTCCAAAAGCAAAGCAAATCATGATTCTAAATTAACATTCCACCATTTTTACTTTTAATTTTTCCCCCATTCACAAGTTGTCCATTTGAGAAGTGATAGAGTAATGCACTGAATCTTGTCCTGATAAAAATTAAATCAAAGGACATTTCACCACTGATTCCAGTGGGAGCAGGATTGGGCTTTACAGATATTACTTAGATTGTAAGCTCTCCAGGGCAGGTAGCATCTTTTGATTCTGTTTGTACAGCATCCAGCACCTTGGGGTCCTGATCCAGGACTAAGGCTCCTATGTAATACAAATAAATAGCAATAATAGACCCTGATTTGTTCTTGCTGCAAAGCAAAACTTCATGGAACAGGTTTGCTATTCTTCTCCTTCACGTTCCTCGTACTTTACAAGAAATCCCAGCAAAACGAACAATTTCTTTTCCACAGGTTGTGGGTAATATGGATCAAATATACTACTGCTAAATGATGTATTATTTTTAAAACTGAAGGAGAAATGCATCACAAGACCAGTCAGCAAAGTAATGGCTGCATCTCATGAACTGGAAATATGAAAAAAAAACGTGGAAACATGTTACCTTTCCTTCAAAAGGTGTTACTGTTTATTCCACACTTATGTCATCAGTATCCGCTTCTCAAGTGTTTAAAAGCATATAAACCTAGGTAAACATAATACACAAAATAAAGTTATCAGGACACAAGGCTAAATTCTATCTTCTGTTATCTTATACAATTCCCACTGGGTAAATGTGTCTGAGGCAGAATTTGGCCCTTGTTCATAATCCTCTGGAAAAATATCTCTATATGTTCATTCAAATAAGTACGTTTTTAAGATCAACATTTCTGAAATTCCATCAAAATTGGAATCCAGAAGTTGCCCACCCCTAAATGTAATTGATTTATAAGATAATGCAACCATTTGTGGCCTCTTGATGTCTCAAGATCATTTTGTGAAGAAATGGGTTTTGCCCACGAAAGCTCATGGTACCATGTACATATTTTTGTTAGTCTGTAAGGTGCCACACGACCACTTGCTTTTAAGGTACAGACTAACATATACCCCTCTGAGACTTTAACTCCATCAAAGTCTTCAACTTCAGTTTTCATGGAGTCTCTCATGTAAACATCCTGGCAAAAAGCACTAAACTGGGGAATGGAGTGGGGGAGGAGAGAAGGGTTCTCTTTTTTAACCAAGTCATTCCAAGACAAATAATCACACGAATTTGAGGAATGATTTGAACATTACTAGGCTCTTCCACCCCACCATAAATCAAAGCAACCCCCCCCCCTTCCTCTTCACCTCCACGCACTTTCAGTGAGAATCATTTACACTTTTTTTTTTCAGATTCACATGTGATCTTCTTCCCAGCAGACCTAGAGCACGGGGAGGGGAAGAGGAGGGGAGGGCGAAGACACCTGCTGTAAAATTGCTGGTGTGAACGGAGGAGGCTCCTCATAACCTGCAATTTCCCCGTCTGTCTAGTCCAGGCAACATGTTCGCTGACACCTGGCATTGGAGATCTGGCTTTGTCACGTTGAAAGGGGGGGGGGGATTGATTAACACGGCATCGTCTGCAAAGATAGGGCTTGTGCGTGCAGAGCCCACGGGGCGACCTGGGTGGGGAGGGGGCTACGATCGGCTCGGGTTACAACATGCCCACGGCAGCCGCGACTTGCAGTAGCCTGCGGAGACGTGGCTTTTGTTTCCAGCGAGGTCTCGCCTGGCCCAGCACCGGCGGCGTCGGTGCAACAGCGCCCAGGAGGCAGCCCTTCGCCGCGCGTAGGGCCGCGCCCTGCAGCCCTCACAGGCGCTGGAGCATCATTCCCCAACTTCCCCCCCCCCCCCGCCGGCCAGGCCGCCCGCCCCAAAGCTCGGCAAAGAAGCAACAGGCTCAGCCCGTCAGGAGCGGCTGCTTCCCCTGCGCAGCGCCAGGCCTTGTGGCGCCCGGGCCCCTCCTCCTCCTCCTCCCAGCAAAACCAGGGGCCACAGCTCCGGCCCCTCCCGCGCAGGGGAGCGGGACTATCGGGCTACACCCGGTTTCAGAGCGAGGGGAAATGCCTCCCCCCCCCCCCCCGTTCTGCCCCCTGAGCGCAGAGCCCCGGGCACCCATAGAACGTTCCCCGGGCGCAGCCAGCGCTACCCTGCGGGCACCCCCCGGCTCGCCGCCGCGCTCCGCTTACCCGCTTGCTGCTCCCGGCGCCCCGCCGCCGCGCCAGGGCTGGGCTGGGGGAGACCACTTGCAGCCCTGCTGGCCGGGCTCTGCAGACTACCCCCCCCCCAAGTAACGGCCCGCGAGGAGGGGCCGGATAAACAGGCAGAGGCTACCATGAAACTTAATCCGGCCCAGCCATCAGGCGGCCAGACGCCAAGCCGCCCCCTCCCCCTTCCTCCCAGCTACCCGGCGCTCTCGAGCCGAGCCCCGCAGAAGTGGGAGTAGGAATCGGCTGCACAGAAGGAACCATGACAACAGCAACAGGAGGGGCCCCACTGGCGGCCCTCGCGCTCCCTGCTATGCCCTGAGCCCGGCCGGCCTGCTGCTAGGCAGGGCGCCTCGGAGCCGCGCTGCTCGGGAGCACCGTTGCAAAAAAAAAAAAAAGGGGCCTCGGCCGCCCCCAGCACGTCTTCTTGCGGGAGGGGAGAGGGCTGGCCCCTGCAACACGCTACCTTGCGTGTGGAAGCGAGGTTGCGGAGCTAGCACGTTCAGACCCCTGTCCCGCACACATACACTCCACACAGTTATGGGGTTGCGCAAGAGAGGGGCTTTAGTGGCCTCTTAAAAACTCGGTCCAATCTGGTCTGTTACCCGCCGGGGTCCCAGCTGTTAAGCATTATTCCCTATAGAGCCCTTATCTTGTTCTCTTTCCACGCTAAAGGGACCTCAACTTGCACTCCACTCTTTTTATAGTAGTTTGGTTCAGATATTAGACCTGCTCCTGAGCCGCCTCCTTTCCTACCAGTGATTGTAGTTTTGCAGCCACATTTTCCTATTTTTAAAATGTCTTCCCCTTCTGAGAAAAGCACAAACATGTCTGTGTACATATGGGAACACCGCCTGTGACTCTACCAAGTGTTGTAAAATGTATACAACTGAAAAAAAGACAAAAGTCGTGTTTTCTAATCTGTCATTTTGCTTGGAAGTTTAGCAGATTTTTAAAAAGTGCTTTTTTCACATCCTATCCTTTGAAATGTCCTGAGTGGTTCCTTCCTCTGTATCCTTTGAGAGACAGTTCCACCATCAAATAGATTTGATCACTCCTATGTTTGATTTTTCCCTAATCTTGTATCTCTTGCTGAGGCCACACTTTTATAAATTCCAGAAAGACTGCTTAAATTATTGCAGCTCCACTTGTGTGCTGCAGTTTTCTGTGGATGATTTTCCTGTCTAAAATGGAGATATGGGGGTGAGATAGAAGCATTATACTGCTGTTTGTTCAGGGAAATGGATATTTTTTGTTCAGGGTTTGAACAGAGAAGGAAAAGAAAAAACTTGATTTTTTTTTTTAGAACTAAAGGAAAGGGGATTTTTTAAAGTTTTTATTTGAATATAAAACAATAGCCAAAAACCATAATGAAAAGCATATATATTGTATTGTGCAAACACCTTTGAAGTAAAATACAAATACATGGAATAAGTGAAATTTGAGTGAAATTTATTTTCAACATAAAAATGCTAATTAATTTATATTTGCTGAGCACTTCGCTTTGACGCACTTTTTATTTAGTAACTATCATTAGAGTCATCATTTTTCTATCTAATGCCAAGAAATCACCTCTTGTTCCCTGTTTATGCCAGCAGCTTTGTTGCAGTAGCATCCATAGTGCCAGAAAGAAGGCTGGCTCACACTGCTGAATACGTCATGTTGCAGTAGACTAGGGGCTGGTACCCTATGTTGACTTGCTTGTTTTTGTGTTGATTTGGTTTACTTCTTCAAAATGTAACTGATTTTTAAACATTGCCACATTATATCAATAAGAGACACCATTGTGTTCTTCAGCTCAAATGCAGGTAAAAAAACACTGACCTTTAGATACATGTATTACTTGTATCCTGTACAACAGAGATTCTACGCATACAGCCATGATAATAAACTCATAACATTTACAACCTGAAAGATTGTCTTTTTGTCTCATTAAAAAAAACAAAAACAAAACATCTTCTTGTCCAGAGTCCTACATTGCATCTTTGCAGGGAGATTTTACCTTGCACAGATGTTTTGAAAAACTACATTTACTGGATTTCTCTTATCTTTTATGGCTGTAGAATCTTCAAAACTCAAAAGAACTCCAGTTGTTTAGTTAAGCATGACCTTCTAACTTGTTTGGATACATACCGGCTATGTTTTAATCACACTCTTTTTTTCCAGGCATTTTCCCACCTGATACTTTAAAAGGGTTTCCAGGATTTTCCATGACAAAAGATTGCATTTCTTTGGTCTATTGTGTTCCAGTTTGTCCACTGATTTTTTTAAATTAATTAACAGGGTTATATTTGTCACCTTGATGATTCTATACTCTACTGGGCTTTTATAAATTCCCTGGCAATTCTGCACTTTGCACACTCTTGTTTGTGCAAATTTTTAAAAGTAAAAGAAAGTTTGTTTGCTTGTATAATTACTATCTGAAATATTAATCACATGAAACTATCTGCAGAAAAATAGAAACAGAGGAGCAGAACTTGTTAATGACTGTTCGATATCGGGGTAGTGAAAAGTTGCCAAGCATCTGTGGCCAAGAAGCACTGTGCCTTGATAAAGAAGAATGCTTCCAGGAGCTCTTCAACATTCATGGTACCATCTCTTACAGAAGCCAGCATGCACTCCCTTCTGCAGCTAGTCAGCTACACTAATCAGTAGCAGCAATGTGGGTAGGGACATCACCTCCACAGAAAATTTGGGGTCACTTACATCCTAGGTGGTGCTAACTGGGAATGGTGTTTGTGCTTTGGGGAGTGTAGTTGTCCTTGAACAGAAATTAAGGAGTAACTAGACCAAATTGAGCAAGGTCAGGAATCTTGTGTATCTCATCAAGTAAATCAATAAATGCCAAAATCCTTCAAGCAATATTACAAATAAAATCAGTTGAACCTATCTATTGGCAGGGGGATTTTTTTGTTTTTAATTTTTAGCCTACAAATTGTGTTCCTTTTTCCTATTAGACCTACACATTTTGTGCTTTTTCCTCTTAGAAATCCATATCAATTTGTTGCAAATGGGAGATGTGGGGACAAATGCTATCTTTTTGTAGCAAAGCTTTGGGGTTAATAATAAGAGGGCAGAGGTGGGAGGGGGGGAATTTTCAGCAGAAAATAAAAAACAAGTTGAGAAAGTGGAGGCCCATGCAGGAAAGGCACTCAGGTGGAATGGAGGTGTCCCATTCCAGCTGGGGCAGTGCTTCTCAAACTTTTTGCTCTGCAGCCCACTCCGCTCAATGCAGACCTTTCTGCGGAATAGGAGCAAACCACCCATATGACAAAGTAGGTACAGGAGTGGGCTGGGGTGCAGGGTCTGGCTGGGAGGTAGGGTGCAGGAATGGGCTGGGATGAGGGATCTGGAAGGAAAGGAGCTGCAGGATAGGGATGTCAACGTTAGTCAACTACATGATTAACCGATAAGCCTTATAGATTAATCCTGTTGACTATATGCATCCCTTCTCCCCTTGCTGCTTCCCACAGAGGAAGAGGGGAGGCTGCCACAGAGGAGCCTCTGTCCACGGCAGGCCCAGACTTGCCGCAGACAGAGGCTGCTCCATGGGGAGTTTGCGCTCTACCACAGACAAGGGCTACTGCCACACCAACACTGCAGCCTCTGATACAGAGGCAGCAGCACAGGGTAGTAGGGGGATCCCCGGGAGTGGAGCTGGGAGTGCACTAGCTGCTAGCCCTGCCCCTGGGAACTATCTAAAAATCTGATGCAGTTACACAATTATTCAATTACACGGTATCTAACATTCCTAGTCCAGGAGCAGGGTCTCAGCATGAGGCGGATGAGTGAGGGGGATGGGAGTGTGGAATCTGAGCATAAGGGGGATGAGGGTACTTACCTAGCTCTGTACCTCCTGCCACTTCCAGGAACTGCCCCCTGCTGTTCCCATTGGTTGGGATTCCAGCCAATGGGAGCAATGGGGAAAGCCTCCAGATGAGCCGTTTTTTGCATTGCCATTCCCCCAGCTGGAGGAGAGGGGAGGGAGAGCAGCAATGTGTGGAGCTGCTTCCTCCCACCACAAGCCGGATCCAGCCCATGAGGCTCATGGCGCCCCCACCCACAGCAGGAAGCTGGCGCTGGGCTGGAGTGCCTGCTGCAGGGGAGGGGGAACAAGCCCTGAGCCCATAGCTCACTTGCAAGATGGTCACAGGCCACTAGTTTTCCACAGACCACATTTTGAGAACCACTGAGATGGGGCATTCCTCCTAACAGATATAAAGGAGGCTGATACATCTTCACACACTGATCACCACTCCTGGGGATGTTAAGGTTGACAGAAAGACAGACTATGGTGACAGGGGTTAGCTCATGAGGACAGATAGGAATGTGGTGATCACGAGAACCAGTTAGTGATTTCTACCTGCCAGTTTTGAAAGTGGTTGGTAGTATAACCCACTACAGCATTTTCCTCAGAAGAAAAGATGTTAACTACTCAGATACCTTATAATATTCTAAATTAATTATATCAGGAAAGCAATCTGAGTTGATTGTAAATAGTGCAATTAAGGCTTCTGGTTAATGTACAGCTCTGGTCAAAAAAGAAAACATGCTGTTAGGAGAGTGACCCTTTATCTGGGATAGATTATCCCATTCCTGCCCACTGTAGAACTCTTGTTCTCTCCTCTGAAGCTGCTGGTGTTGGCATTTGTTGGCGACAGGATACTGGACTGAGTGATAGGTATGATACTGTATGAAAGTTCCTGTGTGGGACTCAATTGGAGTTTGGCTTTTTACCTAAAACAAAGGGACTGGAAATAAGTGTTTACTGGAAAAACATTAAAGTCAATCTCTAGTCTGGTTTACACTCCATCACAGTCCACTGAAATCAGACAATGAAGTCAATAGATTTACAGGAAACATAAGGCAGGACAGAATTAAGCCCATTGGGTAATTACCAATATTAAGAATGTAATGGTATTTATTATATGGCAACTTCCAAAGGTGTTGTGTATTTGTAATGGATCTATTTTTAAAATCTGTAATGTGCACAACATTGTGTGAACCCTATTCCTTAAATTCTTAAGTAAAATTACATTTATAATTCATCTTTGTCTTGTCTCTTGTTCTATATACTCATCAGGTTACATCTAAAATTCAAAAAAAGTACTCTCTTAGCCCTTCCTCAGTTAGCATGTTCAATACAGTGTTTAAAGCAGGAGTTTGTATGATGCAATATCTACTTCACATCCCTTTAACCTGTCTAGTTTAAAAGTTTGTACTGGTGTCACTTTTTTTGTTATATCAGTATAGGTTCTCTTAAGCCTTTGTAAACAAAATGTGCAGAAATAAATTACATAGATCCTTTAGTAAATGGATATATGTGACAAACTAGGAAAGTAGTTGAGAAGATATTTGGTAAGCAATCTTATGCCCAATTCATTAGCTAATTTATTGTTTTTCCTTTTAGACAAGGTCCCATCACAGAGGGAAGAAGAATAAAATGAGTCACTTCTTCAAAACAAACTAAGATATTTCCTCAATCCAATCCTTCCCGAAAAAGAGGACAACACCTTTAAGACTTAAAGAGATTTGCGGCTGTTGTATGAAACAGTGCATTTTCTCAGGGTTTGTTGTTGTTGTTGTTACTGTACTGAAGGAAATACAGATTTGGTGGAAAATATATCTATTAAACTCAAAATACGTTCAAATTTAATCAGAACAATAGATATAAACAGTTTCATAAATAGCAATATACATTGAAATTCAAAACAACGTTCTCCTATATTCCCAGCAAAAAAAAAAAAAAAAAAAAAAAATTGCTTCAAAATCAGAAGGCAAAACAGAGAGGAATGTATTTTTGTAATGCTCTGTGTGCTATGGTGTTACTTGAAAATTAGGAACTCTGTCAAGGTTGGTGTTTGTGATTCATTCCATTTTTGGATTATCATGCTGGAAAGTACAGAATATTAGTCTGATATATTGGAGCATATATTTTGGCAAGAGTATTGCATAGATTTGCATTGGGGGCATAGAAGGAATACTGCTTCTGCTGGAGAAAAACTCTGTTTATTGCTATTTGTAGTTACACATTGCCTGAAGGATAGAATATGCCTTAAGACAGAACTGAGTCAAAAATCTCATAAAAGATATGTTAATTATTTAGAACTAAAAACAAATTATTTGAAATCACAGCAAATTAAGAAGGAATTAATTTACACACAAACATGATGGTTTAAAACCACAGGCCTGGCTCTTGGTAGAATAATGTAACCAAGTAAGTGACAAAGCACATTAACCTTATCATAGATTATTCAGATGCAGAATACCTACAAGGAGAGTCTGGTTTGGTCAGATTAAGGTTATTTAAAGGACTGTTTTGTACTTTCCCCTAGGTGACCACAGATCTGACAAACTCCAGTTGCAGACCACTAAGTTTTAAAGACATTATTTCATAAATGCTGCAAGAGATGCAGTTCAGATGTAACATGATATAGGAGACTTAGAGGGGTAGCTGTGATAGTCTGTAACTGAAAAAACTTTTTAAAAAATGGTTGTGCAGCACCTTAGAGACTAAAAAAAATGTAGATAGTATCATGAACTTTCGTGGGCACAACTCAAGTTATAGGAGAGTCATCAATACAACAGTTATCCCAGGATTTAAAGATGCAAGATAACTTTTTAAATAAAGTTTGATTAGAAAAATGGATACTGCCTAGATGAGAGAGATTGTGGATTTAAAAATAAAATAAAATAAGAGGAGCTGCCCTAATCTGCAGCTTGTTATGTTTTCCTGGGTATTAACATGGTCATGTGGTGAAATGGCATTGTATTCCTTTGTTTCCATTTTCTGTCATCTCGTCCCTCAGGGGGACTGAGAAAAATCCATAATAAACCAACATGTATTTGCAAGGGAGAGGAACCATATTTGCAAGGACATTTCTATAACTAAAGCTCTCTCTGACAATGGATGAGTGGGATTACAGTGAAGCATTCCACAGTGTACAGATATAGTTTACACCAAGCATGATACAAAATCAGATAGTCAAATAACTTATTTAATAAAAAGGCACTATTTGGCAAAGGTTTCTGCTGTTCAGTCAGAACTATGATTGATCTTTGGTTATACAGTGCATAAATATGACACCTCGGTCTTCTTTCAGATATATATGCTTTCTCTTCTCCCTCTATATCTGCTTCCCTCCCCCATTGGGGGAGAACAGTTGTTTGGATTTCCTTGTACAGTCACTTCGTTATATCTTTTCTAAAAAAGCAGGGGGCAACTGGCTATTAACTGGCTTGTATGCCTCATGCTACAGAATGCTGCAACCCAATCACACATTTTAGATAAGCAGTTTCCATTCCTTGGAGTATCAGAAATATGATTTCTAATTCCAAGCAGGACTCCGGGGTGATAGAACAGGTGATGAATAACCACAACATTTAAGGAGTGATATTTCAACTTCAGCAAGGCTTTTGATACTGTCTCACGTGCACTTTCCATGAATTAGGGAAACATATCCAAGACAAATTTATATACAGTGGGTCATACATACTTGGAAAAGTGTATTCAATGGTTCACAGCCAAGCTGGAAGGCATATCAAAGTGGGTTCCCCAGGGATCTTAACTGAGTACAATTGTATTCAAGATTTTCATACATTTATTTAACTAATGGTGAATAGAAAACATTTATAAATGTATGGACAATACCAACCTGGAAGGTGTTATAGGTGCTTTGGAGGACAGGATTAGAATTAAAAATCATCTGGACAAACTAGAGAAATGGCCTGAAGTAAATATGATAAAATTCAATAAGGACAAATGCAAGATGGTACACTTTGGAAGGAGTAATCAATTGCACAAATACAAAATGGGAAATGACTGCCTAGGAAGGAATACTGCAAAAAAGGATCTGAGGTGTATAGTGGGTCACAGGCAACATGAGTTAATGTAAGACTCTTGAAAAAAAAGTTAAGGTCCTTCTGCGATATATTTTCAGGAGTATTATAGACAAAACAACAGTAGTGACTCTTCCACTCTGCTCAGCACAGAGAAGGCCTCAGTTGGAATACTGTGTCCAGTTCTGAGAAACACACTTGGTAAGAGGAAAGAGGATGACAAATTGAAAGTCTAGAAGAGAGCAACAAACATGATTACAGAAAATATGAACTACAAGCAAAGTTTGAAAAATTGGGCTGGGAGATTTAGATTATGAAGTTTCTCCTAATGTCTAACTGTAAAGCTATCCTCTTAATGTCTGGCTGTAAAGATAGCTGGCCTTCCATTAGCATCTCAATCATCCAGTAGCCCAATTGGTTGTTTAGGCTTCCTGCTTCTAATGTATTTTAAATTGCTCTTAATTTTGAGTTGCTATTGGTGTTTGAGTTTTTGGCTAGCTGTTCTTCACATTCTTTTTTGGTTTCCCTGGTTATAGGTTTACACTTCATTTGACAGAGTTTATGCTCTGTCAAATGGAAGTAATCTGTAGTAGACTGCTAACATGACATCACCCTTGTTTTTACCCTTTTTATCTTTACCCAGAGACTTTCAATGAATCTGTCTCATACCAAGATTAAGATGGAAGTAGAAGTGTAAACATGTTTAATAAATAAGGCGTCACCTCCTCCCCTTTCCCCCTTGCCTGTCCTTCCTGAGCAAGCTATACCCCTCTATACCAATATTCCAGCCATGCATATCATCTTATCAAGTCTGTGAGGCCAACTGTGTCATCATTGTATTTATTAAGTAGCATTTCAAAGTTACTGCTTATTCCTCATACATATTGCATTATGTCCCCATACAGACATCTATGATACTGATTTGATTTCCCACTATGTTCTCTCTTGTCTCTCCCTTTTTCCTGCTGCAATGGCTCATGCCCCAGCCCAGATCCTGACCTTTCTCCCAGGTCTTACCTGTGGGTTTTCATCAGCTGTCCCCATTGAACCTAGTTTAAAGCCCTTCTTACTAGGTCTGCCAGTTTGTATCCAAAGATGCTCTTCCCTTTCCTTGATAGGTGGACCCCCATCTCTTCTTAGCAGTTCTTCTTCCCAGAATGACATCCTGTGGTCAAAAAATTGAAAGCCCTCCCGGTGACACCATTCTTGCAAACAGGCATTCACCTCTAAGGGTGTGTCTAGACTACATGGCTCCATCGACGGAGCCATGTAAAATAGTTTACTCAGCATAGTCAAAGAAGCAGATTCACGAGGCATAAGGGATCGGTCAGCAAAGGCTTCCCCAGCTGACAGATCTGTGTTTGGGCGGCCCGGCGCGGCGGCCATGTTTATTTTAATGAAGCGGGGATTATTTAAATCCCTGCTTTATTGACTATGCTGGGTAAAGTAGTTTACATGGCTCCATCGACCGAGCCATGTAGTCTAGACATATCCTAAGATGCATATGTCTGCCTATGCCACTTTGTCCTGGACCAGAAGGATTGAAGAGTACGCTACCTGCAACCTCAACTCCTTTACCCTCATTCCCAGATCCCCGTAGTCACTTCCAATCTGCTCTGTTAGAGGGCTTACCCTTCACCCCCCTCTCCTGCTCCCTGGTAAGCAGACAGAGAGCATAAGACCAGAAGTCTGGAGTGCAGGCAATGCGATGTTTATTGGGGTTATTTCCAAGCAAGCATCTCCATATTTCCACATGCTAACAGAGTCTGCTTCCCAGTGTTCCATTCCCAGCTCTAACACTGCAAAGTATTTACTCCATGTCCCCCGTCTTAGTTCTGATGCCTCAGAGCCTTACCTAGGTCTCCATTCCTACTTCCTTCTTCTTATCAAGCTCAAATATACCTGCCATGCATACCTCTAGTCCCACCCCTTGCATGGTCATATTCCGTTTTGGAACGCTGTGAGTCTGGGGTCTTCATTCCACCTCTTTTGTATCCCACGGGAGAGGTACAGCAGTGAGGCTGCTTACTGAGTTCTGATGCCTCAGAGCCTTACCTAGGTCTCCATTCCTACTTCCTTCTTCTTATCAAGCTCAAATATACCTGCCATGCATACCTCTAGTCCCACCCCTTGCATGGTCATATTCCGTTTTGGAACGCTGTGAGTCTGGGGTCTTCATTCCACCTCTTTTGTATCCCACGGGAGAGGTACAGCAGTGAGGCTGCTTACTGCATACTGTGTCCAGGGGCAGATGACTGTTTTGCGGGGCCCCAGGCAATATAACTCCGCGGGGCCCCCCCTTTGCCTCGGCGCATGCGCCGTGACGCCATGTGCATGCGCGGTGGTGTTACAGCGCATGCGCGGGGCTTTTTTAAGCGCAGGGCCCGGGGCGGCCGCCCCGTTCGCCCTACCCTATATCCGCCCCTGACTGTGTCACATGCTTCCCATCCCGCATCCCTTCTTGCCCCTCCTAAGTGGTTGCTTGACCTCTTGATCTCGGCTTGAGAAAGGAGCCATGCAGCCTTCCAGTGTATGCTCATACATTATATTCCCACCATCGCCTGCTAGCGCTCTCTAATTTTTTCTCATTGTACTAAAAGCTCCATCTGGTTGTGAGAATTGTCTTTAAGGTCTTTGTTTGTTGTTCTTCACACATATCAGTAAAGACATGAAAGCGTATCTAAAACCAAATCCAAAATTCTATCTCAGGCTGACAAAAAAAAAAGAAAGCGTATCTAAAACCAAATCCAAAATTCTATCCAAAAAAAACCTACCTACCTCACAGTATCATTGGTGCCAACATGGATGAGTAGCATGGGGTGGTAGTCAAAAGGCTGGATGATCCTTGACAGTCCCTCTCTGATATAGGCCCAGTCAGGCAACATATCTCTCAGGATGCCATGCCAGACAGCAGGTGGATTACTCCCTCTTCAGAAGAGAACCATCATACACCAGCACCCTACAATTCCTCCGAAGAGTAGCAGCTGCAATCCTTGGGGTCACATGGCTTCTCCTCCTTCTGCTGTCTGACACCTATATCATTTTGAGAACTTTAGTTTTCTTGATTTTGCATGTCTAACATGCAAAATAGTATTAAAAAGCTGAAAAAATGTCACTAAGTACATATGGAGATAAAGAATGCTACAAAGGTAGAAAATACAGATCTTAGGTATTGAAAGATATAACTCTACATTGCAATAAGATATGAGTTTCTGGGTCAGAAAACAGGTCTTAAAACTCATGGTATCTGATTCTGGCCTCCAATTCACACACTATATGTTTCTTTGCTGGCATATAAGGGTTGTTCAGGTGCTGCAGAATTCCCCTCTGTACAAGAGCAGTGGAGGCTTGCTGTTTGCCTCCCCCCACCTCATCCACCCACCCACCCTGGGCATGAGAGATGTGTCAAGTTAGAACCAGGAGGGAGCCTGTGGGGGAAGAAATTGAATGCCTATAGTGCTGAGTAATATGGCAATTCTGGACTGCTTCAGGGTGTGATACAGCCTATGGATAACCCTGCCATAAGTTAGAAGGGGGGCTTCAGTAGCCCTCAGCTCTCCCAAAATCTTTTTCTTGCACTTCCCTTTGACCTTTGTGTTATGAGGCATCTGTCCCACACACTTTAAGAATGTGACAGTTCTTTGTTATACAGTGGGCCATAGTCTGATCCCTATTACACTAGTGTAACTCTTTAACTTGCACCAGTGTAAGTGACAGCAGAATTATTCTCTCTAACTAAGACTATAGGGACAGACATAAACTAGAAACACCAAATCTATTCCGAATCCATAGCCAGATCTGGTCTGTTTGTCCTTTGTCCATGTCTGTAGTAGTGTCAAATTGGATTACTTAATTCAAACAACTCCCTTCCCCAGTGTCTGGGGACATTTTTTTTATTTGGATCTAGATCTAATTATAAAGAAAAACCAAAACATTTCTTTAACTGGCAAACCAGGCTGTGTTGGTTGTATGTGGAAAATAACTGCTTACTCTGTTCTGAGTGATACACAGGATCTTTATCCCCACCCCCTCCAGTTCTGCTACAAATAAATTCGAGAATAAACTTCATGTATCAGTTTTGCCTACTCATATTTAGATGCCACTAAATTCTAGGCATCACCAGTTAGCTAGAGAAGCAAGTATTAAGTATGGGAATAATACTTATGCATTGCTTACAAGAAGAGTGTCTTCCATAAAAACTCAGCATTTAGTCACAGGGGGTAAGTGATTTTTCACTCTTGATGGGAGATTTGAGAAATCAAATTTTCTGTGAGAACATAAAAGTCTTGTAACCCAGAATACTGAAGGAACTCATTAAGACTAGAGGGGACTTGCAAACTTCTAGAAATTAAAGTATTTGAACATCTGTTAAAGTTCAGTAAGTGTTTCTCCAATGAAAAGAATAATAAATCTGATAGCCTTCTAGCATAGAAGCTCAAACAGAACAAACAAAAAAAAGATAGATACTTCAAATTAATTTGGCAGATGGCTCAGTAAACTAGGATCTGGGACAATTCTCAGAGTCAATTTCTCTTCAAAACCATGAGCACATGAACTGAACACCCCAGAAACATTAAGAAATGTAAGGATTACATTTACCAGGGCTGTCAGATAAGAAGCAGCATGCACTACAGGCAAACACTCATCACTGGAATTCACTGCATTTATTATAGAATCATAAAATGGGAAAGGCAACCAGTCCAGATTAGCTTCTGTATTTAATCAGGCATCCAGCAAGGCTCAAACATAGAATAGGGTTTATCCTGCCTCTTGATCGTCAGAGATGTTATTACATTTAGTGCTAGGTAATAATGTTTCACCAATTCACTGGGGAGAAACCCTTGCTGCGTGCGGAAGCTATTGACATTCACCCTTGTTAAATTACAATATGATAAAATATTGGTAACATTTGTAGCTGAAAAGTGAGGATGGGATACATAAAAGAAGTGATCAAGACTGAATTTAATAGTTTACCTGATGCCAGGTGCAGAAATAGTTGTGTCAGCCTTTGCAAAAAAGGGAGGCTGACAGAAGGGATTCAAGAATATTCTCTCTTCTCTACATTTGAGTCATACAGTAAACACATTTCAAAGTCACCCCTGGCATGAATAACTGGAACTTCTAAAGTTAGAAGAAGTAGATTATTTCACCAGTACTGAACTTGACCCTAAGTCTAGAGACTGATAAACCCAATATGTGGTTTACTCAAATCAAACTAGATGAAGTCTCTTTAACAGCATCAAAGGAGAGAAACTTGTAGTAATAGTGCTTTATAGCTACAAAGGAACTTTCATCAAGCAGAGCCAGAGCCGAGTATGACTAAGAATAATTAAGTGAATACATTGAACAAAACATCAAATCCTGTGTTTATCAGTGCTGTTATTTAAATGATAGAACAAAGATGCAAACACGCTTATGTTTCCAATGGTTGAAGGTGAAGCCAGACAAATTAAAAACAAAAATTGATAGTGATGGTGATTAACCATGGGAACAAACTATCAAAAGGAAGTTGTGGATTCTCCATCTTTTGATGTCTTCAAGACCAGATCCTTTTCTGGAAGATATGTTTTAGCCAAACAAATTGGACTCAATGCAGGAATAATTGAGTGAAATTTAATGACTGGTGACATACAGAAAGTCAGGCTAGATAATGTAATGATCTCTTCAAGCCGCACTCTACACATATATGAATATAGACCTGAAGTCTCTAGACATCTTCTCTATATGTCACTGGGACACTGTACTTCACAAGTGGGCCTAATACCACTATTATGTACAGAATACCAGTTGGCCTGATACGCTGGAATATTAATAACTGAAATACATCCAACATATGTACTACTACAGTGTATAACATTCTCATTTACAGATAATGATCAGAACCATTTCTTAAGTTGTTACACCACTTAGCAGTTACCAGCATCCTTATGTGCTGCCAAATTCAAATCCCACTGAAATCAGTTAAAAGATTTCGAGTTGAAAGAATCCAAGTTCAGACATAAGGATTATTTGTGGAAAACCTAGTGCTAAGTTTCTTCTATGTCAAACACTTGAATTCTGAACATTTCAATAATGTTTTAAAGGCAGAGTCGCAGGGTGATCCTCTCTCCTAGGGGGTATGGTCCCATGTCCCTTGGTTGTCTAAGTCGGTGACACACCCGCCTTATGTCTAGACTGCAGAGTTTTTCCAGGATACCAGAGGTATCTTGGAAAAATTCTGCTGCATCCAGGGAATGCGTCCGTTTTTTCAGACCAGATTCCAAGCATTCCTGTATTCCTCATTTTATAAGGAATAAGGGATGTTCCAAAAGAGGAGGCTTTTCCAACATTTGGCCCTGTGTAGACGGGCTGAATGTCGGAAAAGCCTCTTCCGAAAAAACAAGTGGAAAAAGGTACGTAAGTTGCAGTTCGCAATTTGTGTGTCTTTTTCGAACCTCCTCCCCCCCTCCCCACAGTGTAGACATAGCCCCTGTGCGACAGGTAAAACACCTGCAGTTAAACTCCTCACCTCGAGGCTGGATAACCTAATGGCCAGAATCAATGCGGGGCCCTTTAAATCAGAGTAGATGGGCCTACTAAGCCAGAGTCAGTAAATTAAAATCAATGGCTGGCCCTTTAAAACAGGGCTAGATGGCCCAATGGCTGGAGTCAGAAAATAAAAGTCAGGGCTGGCCCTTTACTGTAGTGCTGGACAGGTGACTGAGCAAAGTCACTAGCCGGGGGGGGCAACCTGTGTCCTGGCAGAGAGATCCGGGCCCACCCTACTCCACTGGGTCCCGGCCCAGGGCCCCGTGAGCGGCAGAATGGTCCACCACACCCTCGGCAGGAAATCCTACCAAAACACACCGTGTATCTCTGGGTGGGAGAGGCTGATCCTGCACCCTCCCTGGGTCGCTGCCTACCTGATCAACAGGCCAGCATCCCACTAGCAGCTGGGTCCTCTGGCTCCTTGGGGGCCACGCTTCCCTAGGAATCTGCAGGGATTAGGTCCCATCTGGCTTTGGGGCCTCCGCTGTTCTTATCTCAGGCAGCTGGCTTCTGCTGCTCAGAAGCTATGACCAGAGGTCCTTCTCCACCACCATCCAGCCCAGACTGAACCTTTCCCCAGGCTTTTATACCTCGGCTACAGTCTGAGAGTGCCCGGCAGGGTTGTTGGGGCAATCCTGCTTGTTCAGTATGAGGCTAGTACATTCTGTCACAGGCAGCCTTAACGCTAAGATTCCCACCCCATGCTTTCTGGATTTATAAAAAAAATAAGAAGAAAAAGTGTACAAAGTATCAAATAACTTACCCTTTTCCAGTTTTAAGCTATTTCATAACAATAGGGGGTGTATATAAATTGGATTCCTCTACCCAAGAAATGCATTTTAAATGAGCGCCATGAGAAGTGTTCTCTACATCTAAAATATCAGATGTTATGATCATTTATCAAAAATTATTCATATTCTTCATTTTTTCTTTATTACTGCTTTCCTCGGTGTATATATTAAATTTGCCAGGCATTCAATTTTGGAAATTTTATCCAGTGTCACAATAGCAAAGAAATATGATGTAGCTTTAGATTAAAGCACAGGACCAGCGCTCAGGAGATTTGAGTTCTATCCCTAACTTTCCCAATTTGCTTTGTGAATTTAAGCAAATCATTTAGTCTTCCTGTTTCCTTAACTGTAAAATGGGTATAATATATGTCTACTACATACGTTTATTTTGGGGCTTACTTCATTAATGTTTATAAGTCTTTTGAGATCATCATATATGCAAAATATGATTTTAGAGAAAAAATGAGCTGGACATCAGGTCTGTTCTTTTTTCAAATTAAGTTCATAATTATTTGTGAGGGCCACTGATTTCGTTATGATTATGTAGCTTAATCTCATATTACTGTGTTGTTAAAATCCCAAACTGAGACCAAACATTCCTAATGTAACTACATAATTATATGTCCAGACTAATTCTTGTTTAGTTCCAAGACAAGCATAAATAATCCATTTTAAAGGTAGCTCTATTCAGTTTAACAGGGGTCCCTAGTATGC